GTTCGTAAAGCAGTCATTATGTGCCGGCTGGGGCCAAAGGCGTCCTGCATTGCTCATTCCTTCTGGGTGTCCCTATTATAGTCCAGATTAGAGATCTCTGTAATATCGCAGTACAGCGGTGGTTCTTTCTGGAACTAGCAAAGCAGCCAGGGCTGCGTTCTTATCTCATTCCCCATCATTAGAAATATTAGAAGATTCTCCTCTCCTCTCTCCCTTCTCTCCCCTCTGTCTTCGTCTCTCAGTGTTGCTGTCCCAGGACTACAGGTTTAGTAGAGGTTCACTTGGGGCCTTGGAGAGGAAGGGTATCTCCTGACTGCACAGACATTAACATGTCAGACCACGGTGTGGGAGGAAGAAGGGAGCAGCCAAGGCCTCTTCCATCTGCAGCAAGACACAAGGATGTTTTCCAACCCGAGGACACACGGAGACCAACAAAGGAGCCCAGCGGAAGCCTGGGTCCGGCCCTCCACCGCCCAATGAAGTGCCATCTCCCGACTCCCTTCCAACGCACCTGTCTCCCCTTCCAGACATGGAAGCAAGTGCTGAAGGCCTTTCCTGAGTCTTTGAAACAATCTGTGCTGAAGATCAAGGTGGAAACCGGCCACACCAACTCTGAGTAATTTGCTGACACTGTTTTCTAGTGATTCACCTGGTGCATGGCACACAGGACAGTAAAACATGATCCTGCTGATCATTTCTTGAGAGTCAGCACTGGTTGGAAGCACACGTATAATCAATGGTAACATGTTGCAGATATTTGGCAGCTTTGAATCTCTCCTCCCATTCAGCCCTCCCAAAGCTCAGCGCTAGTGAGCCATGGCAAAGCCCAGACTTCCATCCTCCCTGCGTCCTAAGGCAAAACGCTGCCTGCGACTCTACCTCTCTCGCCATGCATTGGCCAATATCTTTATAAACTTAAATATATAAATCCATGACAGAGAAACTGGAGGCATGGTTCAAGTGGTAGAGCACCAACCTAGCAAGTATAAGGCCCTCAATTCAATCTCCAGTGCCATCAAAAACAAAACAAAAAGCCAGACACCGGGTAGCTCACAGCTGTAATCCTACCTACTGAGGAGGCTGAGATCTGAGGATAGTGGTTCAAAGCCAGCATAGGTGGAGAAGTCTGTGGTCTCCAATTAATCAGTAAAGAACCAGAAGTGGAGCTGTGGTTCAAGTGGTAGAGCACCAGTCCTGAGTAAAAAGAGGCAAGCAAGAGTTCAAGACCCTGTGTTCAAGCACCAGTAGCAGCACAAATAATAAATAAAACTATGACAGAGAAGCACCAGGCTTAGAGGAATCTTCGGAAATGCAAAGAACATTTCCTTTGTAAATACTAACTAAATACTAGTAAGCACTAAGTAAATACTAAGTAAAAGGAGGAATTTCTATCTCCAAATGCTTCAGCAAATTTGAAAGATATGAACCAACAAAATAAACTGTACATACCTGTTTGTATCAGGTTATTTTTATACATAGTCATAAGATGCTATGTAAAAATCAAACAAGAACTGCATAATAAATTATGTAGGGTACTTTTAACAACACATCCAAGACATCAAGAATAGTTTCATTTTTTGGTTTATTAAAACAAAACTACATGTCTGTGCTTCTCACAATACATTATCAAGCATAAAAATCAACATTTCCAAGGAAAATTCATTCACAAAAATCACATAGTGTTATTTCACAATACTTTATAATAATTCTTTTTACAACAATCTAACATTTCTCTTTATAACATGCAAATACTTCAACACCTCCCATCAAGACATTTAGCCCTTTTGCTGTTTAGAAATAAGGTCAAGAGTCTCTTTCGAAGTGATCATTAGTCTATTAAACTGAAATGCCAGATGGCAACTCTCAACTATCTTTAAAAAAAAGAAAAAAAAGGTTGACATCCCACAGTAAGTCTTATAAATTTCAGACAGGTCCTATCATTTCAAAATTCTAGCTCTACCTACGGATAAAAATCTGCATTCAATTGTGCAATGTTTTCTTCTAGATGGGAATAAAAATCTCTATTACTTAACTCCAATTAATTCTGCTTTGGGTAAACATGTTTTTAAAAGCCAGGCTGATGGGTGGCCAGTCTTCCATCAAAGGAAGGGATTCCTGCCACCTGCACCACCTGTACTACACCTTCAGTGCCTCTCCTTCCCACGGAAGAAACGTGCGGTCCATCCAGCGAGCCATCTGATAGGACAAACACACACACAAATCCTACCACAGTGCCTTCTACTCATTACTGTTCTGACTAAGGAAGAAGTTCCCAAAATGTTTCCATGAGATACTAAGTGAGTAGGTTCAGAGGTGTCCCAGAGAGGGAAAAGTTCCTGAGGTCAATAGTTTGGGAAACGCTAGGTTAACCGGGCTTTGCGGAGCCCTTACTTCGCTGAGGTGGACTTTGCTTCCAGGCGTTTCTGAGCAGAGCTTTCTCTGAACGCCTGGTGCATGTGAGGAAATGCCCTCCCCGCCAGGGCGCAGGAAGCCCCGGCCTGAGCTTCTACTCAGAGCCATCTGGGTGTTTTCTCTTCCCATTCCCTTGACTGGATACGATATAACACCTTTATGAAAAAAGACATTGTGCTCTCTCTGTTCTCATTTTTTATTTTACTTTGTTTTTCTTAACATTTTAAAGAGTAGAAATTCCTTCTTCCTTTCTGAATTACTTAGGACATTCTCACTTTGAAAAAGCAAAGTTGAGATTTCATATTGCTTATTACTAGGTTTTTAATTTTTTATTGTTTTTCACTTTGCTCACAGTCTTCCCCTGAAGGACATGCATTTCCCTTTTGCAGAAATGCAGGAGAGTAAACTGTAACAAAGTATTTACAAGCACCTAGTTGGGTTAACCTTACAAAGAAGCTACCTGCTGTTAAAAAACAACCAGGATGCATCTATTAGCAAAACAGTGCTACCTAGAAGCTTTATTGTGATGACTTAGTATTCAGTAATGAGGCACTGAAGGATGAGTTGTGCAAAACTTAACTCAAGGATCCGCTTATCTAGATGAACACAACTTTGGTTGAAATTTATTTTCTTCCTTAAAAAAGGTTTTCAAAGCACCAGTTAATTACAAAAAAAAAAAGCATGCATATTTATCCTCACAGTGAGTCAAGTGGCAAAAGCGCAAGCAGAGTGCATTCCCCAAAGCATGGGATTGAACTTCTCAAAAACAGAGGGACCAAAAAGGAAAACAAAGCTTGCGATCTGCAGACAGTGGGGCCCAGGGGGAGTCAGGCTCAGTGCTGAACTTCCAGCCAATTAACAGAGTGATTCTTAGTTTACAGCTTGGAGTATGGGAAGAGAGAGACAGACAGACAGACACAGAGAGAGAGAGAGACAGAGAGGAAGAAACAGAGAGAGAGAGACAGACAGACAGACAGAGACAGAGAGAGACAGACTGAGAGAGAGAAAGAGAGACAGAGAGAGAGAGAGAGAGGGAGAGGGGGGGGGATCGGAGTGTCAGATTGCCCAGATAAGGGATGCAGGCAGGGGCAGAGCAGATGCCCGGATGTGCCCAGGAGCAGTGCAGAGGCGTGAGGTACGCTACCCCAGTTAGTGAAAAGGAAGGTTTAGTGGTGACTCTGCCACTCCACACCAGAGCCACTGCCTCTGACAGTGGTGACTGGGACCAGAGCTCCAACAACAGTCTAGAAAACACGCATCTCCCAAGCCGACTCAGAGAAGCCCGGGGAAGCATGGCGGCAGGGCTCCCACAGGGCACCTCCGATGGCGAAAGGCCAATCCCCAGCTCCAGACGCTCGCCCCTCTGGCATGGCGCGCAGCTAGTGTTTAAAATCCAAGCCCAGGACAGTACTAATTCTATCCTCAATACTTTGATACTAAATTCGAAGAATCTATGCAACATGGGCCAGGAAAAAAAAAAATGCTTTCTGGTTCCACACTATTGGGTAGATAGGACAATAAATTGTTAGAAAAAATTGTAACATTATATTAAGGTTAAGAAATCACCATAATCACCACAAGGAACAAACGATTAGACTCCCTGCTCACACACACAAAAAGTACCTACTCATAAACAGACAAATTTTCACAATTACTTGCCTCTGTGTCATTGGGGTGGGCATATAACACATAGATTTCTAAAGAGATAAAAAGGTTATTTTTTTCTTTTCCTCAGAGCTAAAAATCTATAAATGTCTCCAACCATTTACCACTAAGCGGCATCAGCACATACACTGCAGAACTCCTGTGAGCAGCAGGCACCCGGACCAGGATGCAGCATACCGTGTGTGCAGTACATGAGTCAGTCAGTGGTCTGCAGCTAGACCACAATAACAGTCTGTCCAGCTGAGCTAATCGACTGAGTACAGTCACTGCCTAGAAAACAGCTGTGCCCATGGGAGGCGGATCCTTTCCAACTGAGAGGTGGGAAAAAGTCCAGCTATAAAACGGGAGTCATGTCTAAACACTTGCTGGTCATTGAACTCAATGGCACTTTATCATATGAGCAAAATCATTTGGTACCAGTTTTCTGACGTGTCCACCTTGAATTCTACCAGGCAGAATTCCCTGTCTAAGCACAACATCTCAACTCCTTAACCTAAATGAATACTATCGCTTTTTTGTCAACAACTGAAACACTTTCTACATCTGGCCACAAGGGCAGCACAGCAATACCTGGGTAATGCCTGGGTATGTTGTATTTCAGCTCATTTGCTGAGGGGATGAAGGGGGCTCCCAAGGTACAATCCAGCTACCATGGACGAAGCTAGAACTAAAAAGAAGTGGAGGGGCTGGGCGCCCTGTGGCTCACGCCTGTAATCCTAGCTACTCAGGAGGCTGAGATCTGAGGAGCACGGTTCAAAGCCAGCCCCGGCAGGAAAGTCCGTGAAACTCTTATCTCCAATTAACCACCAGAAAAGCAGAAGTGGGGCTGTGGCTCACGTGGTAGAGTGCTAGACTTGAGCTGAAGAGCTGAGGGACAGCGCCCAGGCCCAGAGTTCAAACCCTATGACTGACAAAAAAAAAAAAGAAGTGGAGGAATGGCCCAATGTTCTTCAAGGAAGCATTAATTATGAATCAGAAAACAGCATGATGTGTAATTCACAAGAGTCAGATCTCCAAGACAACTATGCATTGGTGTCCATCACAGTAATTAGTCCTTAAAAGTTGTACTTAAAAGGTGAATCTTTAATCAACTCTAAAATAATTTATTGAGGCTTCATCTAGCAATCTACTGATTACGCGCTGCAAAGGGGGGGCCGAGGCCCTGAAGGTCATGTGCAGGCCACTGCATGGAGTTGGGAAGAGCACAGGTCCCGAGGGCAGAAGGCACTTTTCTTCCAGGAGGCCCCTCAGGGCGGGGCGGGGCGGGGCGGGGCAGGCCTGCCGTGGCACTGCCACTCTCAGACTGCGCCGGAGCCTAAACGGCACTCATCTCCAGCCCTTCATCCATAAAAGGTGCCACAAATTATCTACAGCACCACAAAACTCAGAATATATTCTAGAAGTTTTTGCCGGTTGCACTGAGGTAGGAAAGTGCTGCTCAGTTCTAAAACAGATACTTTCTTTTGCTTGGTTTCTTTGAACACCTGAAGAGAAAGTTTAAAGTAAATTAAAGGAGAAAAAAGAGGGGGGGGCTTTATTTTGTCATCAACCCTTGACGTACAAGGCAGTGAAGGCATACCCAAGTGCAAGCGTGGACGGGGAGGCAAGTGAGTGTGAAGTGGGGGTTTTAGGGGAGGTGGTCTTGACTGAAATCACTTCATTAAGCTTCCCACCCCAGTCCCTTTCCAAAGGTCACTGGAGGAAGTGCAGGTATGGCTCAAGTGCCAGCCTTGAGCAAAAAAGCCAAGGGAGAGCTGAAGGCCCTGAGTTCAAGGCCCAGTACCAGCCCCCAAATCAAAGGTCACAGTAGCTCTGTAGAGCACATGGCCTGCATGACAGGTGAGGGCAAAGGATCACTGAAGACAATAGTAGCAAAAACACAAGACAAAGGCAAGAAATCTCCGGAATACCATGTGCATAGGTATTCTGAGATCCACGGATACCTGCCACACAGACACAGCTGGGGCAGGAATGAGAACCAGTGCTCAGGCTATTAAAATAAATCTGCACTGATTGGCCTCATCCCCCACAAACCCCACCCCGACCTTCATTCCTAGACACACTCTCCCACTTAACCCAGGAAAAGCACTTCCCTGGGTTCCACCCCACAGCAATCAATGGCAGCACAAGTAGACTGGATCTAAAGAGAACAAAACTAGAGCTTACTTGTGTGTCATAAGTACTGGATACCTACCCCGATATCCTTAAACATTTTCACAGCATTCTTCACAAGACAATACGTGGCGCTCTCGGCTGCAGAGAAACAAGACCTTGTTAATGCCGAGGTCCAGGCCACAAGTCTGGGTGAGGTGTAAGCAAGATGGTGGCAAGCTCCACTTCTGTGGCTGACTACTGGGTAGCTCTCTCTCAAATGTTGTGTTGCCTTTTCATTTACTAAGGGAAAACAGGGAGAATGGGGGGGGGGGAAGGGGAGAGGAGGAAAAAGAGGAAGGGAAAGAGCAATACCCAAAGCATCCACCCTGCAAGGGTTGTGAGACTCAAACAAGGAAATATGTGAAACTTCCTTTAAACTCCCTGGGGATGCTCAGGGATTCTCACACCTGTGACCCAGGTCTAGAAGGCAGCAAATAAGACTGTGAACCTGCGAGTGGCTCACACCTGTAATCCTAGCTAGAGTCCGCTTGTGAGTCTAAGTTCTGAGGACTAGCATTTGAAACAAGGTTCAAAAATCTCCAATTAATCACTAAAAAGGCTGGAAATGAAGCTGGAGCTCAAGTGGTAGAGCACCAGCCTTGAGTAAAAACACTAAGGGACAGTGCCAAGGCCCTCCATTCAAGCCCCAATATTGTCACACACATACATATGCACACACAAACACACATACACACACACAAAACAAAACAAAACAAAACAAAAAGTAGTATGGCTCAAGTGGTAGAGCACTAGCCTTGAGTGCCAAAGCTAAGTGAGAGCACAAGGCCCTGAGCTCAAGCCCCTGGCACAAAATGAAAAAGAATTGTAAACCTGAGTCTGTGCACTGACTAGCCAGGACTGGACAGTTTTCTCATGTGTAAAGTAAACAATGGGGTGGATATCTGCAGATCCCTGCTGACTCTGATCCTGATTCTCCTCAGGAATGATATCTACATGAGCACGGGTGTCCAAGCACACACACAAACATGTGGAGTCATACCTTGCAGTGCCCTAAACTGCAACAACCCGAGCAGCCACCACCAGCAGAAGGAATAAAATGTGCAACACTACACAGCAACAGAAAAAAATGAAAGTGCACACAACATGTATGAATCTCAGACAGTGCGGGGTAAAGAAGGCCAGACATAAGAGTGCCTAAGTGTATCATTTAATTCACGTAGCATACCAAGGCAGAGGTCAGAATAAGTTTGCATTTCCTCCAATTTTCTACAAATACCAGTGGATTTATAAAAGAAACACTGATTTGACATACCATACACAGCGATATTCCGTTCTGTTCTGGTTATGAGGAACTTGTGCAGTTTCTGCAGGTACTCGGGCTCAGCGACAGGACCACTGAAGTTGTGGATGAAGGTGGCGGCAGAGCTGTAGGCCTCCAGCAGGGGCCCAAGAAGCCTCTGCAGGAAGGAGATGAACTGCTGGTGCTCCTTGGACTGACTCACCTGTAAGCACAAGCGCAGGGGGAAGAGTCACAGGAAAGGCTCAGGAGAAGCGAGGGCCAGCGAAAATGACCACATGCACTCCATGTGCAGACAATCTCTTTAGGAGACAAAGGCCAATGCGGATGTGGGCTCTTAATTTCCATTGTTCCTTTTTATAGTGTTTGAGGCTAATGTACACATAACATGGGCTGTCTGACGTAATTATGACACTGGCCCCATTGAAAATAACCGGGTTTGTGCCCTCCAGGTTTTGAGTCCTTGACTCAACAGCCAATCAGTAAAAAGAATAAGCCACTAAAGTGGGCCTAAGGCATGACCACCACCACACCATCAGCTCAGCCCTCACTAGCAACCACATTCTACCTCTCCTACATGTCCAGCACCATGGAGAAGGACAGCCACAGTGAAGAGGTTTTGTAGTAGGAGAGGGGGGCTCAGTTTGACCCCAAAACACAAAGAAAGGTTCACTGATGCCACTGGAGTATGGAAGCAAGACCACTGCCCAATGGTGAAAGCCACACTATCCTGCTAGGGAAGGAGTAGATACCCAAGTGTTGTTTGGAAATAAAACTACTGTGTTGGTGCTTGCTGGACAGATTTCTGGCTGAGGACCCAATCTTCTGCAGAAGTCACTTTTGCTGAGACAATTCTTTATTTTCATGTTTATTGCGACTCCAGTGGTTCTTGGAGTGCATAGTTATAACAATTTGGGGGCTCACCTGGGGTCTTTCCATCTGTGAAAGGAGCCTGGAAGCCCTTTTCCCAAGGGAGACGCGTCCCTCTGCCTTGTTGCAGAGGCCCTGGGGTATTGGGCGATCGGTGCTCTTGGATTGGAAATCCATCAGAGGCCTGAATTCTTTCAGCAACATGGGGAAAGGGAGCTCCAGGGAGTACCACAGCAACATAGCAATTTCATGCACAAACTCAGACAAGAAATGCCACCACCATCGATGGCAAAGTATTTCTTGGTGACAGGGAGATTGAGCACCTAGGTTGTGAGACATCTCCAGGGACTAGCTGTACAAGAAACCTCCCCTGTGTGTGGGGGGGGGGGGAGGGGGGGAGGGGATAAGTACAACAGAGGTGCACAGGAAATCTCCAATAAGGGGGCTAAGTGCACAGGAAAGCTTACGCATGGAAACATGCCTAAAAGGGGAATAGAATTCTAGGCCTAGGGAAACAAAAGTGGGGCTAAGGAGGTTCCTTTGGGCATTTCCCTGTGTGTCCATTGGGAAATGTTAAATTCAGCATGCTAATGTATAGTTGAGTTCTCTATCATTGTCTTTCTTAACAGCCTGTCCTTAGTAGAGGTTCTAAATGTTGTTGGCATCTTCCTCAGGTGTATCTACCTATTCAGGGTTGAAATATGGGTGCTACTCTACCATGGCATGAATTTTCTTAGTGTTTATTGTTGCAAATTTCCAAGAGATCTGTGTTCTCTGTTCTGGGTCTTTGTGTGGTGTGTTAGGTGGTTTCTATAGTCCACTCAAAAGTCCTGTGGCTATGGAACTCAGAGGAAACTTCAGGAATTTCTAAGACTGCTTGAGTGAATCCAATCCTATGACTTTAGGAAACACTACTCTTTCAAAGGAAGAGTCTAACCCTTTAAGTTGGACATTAAGGAAATTCCAGACAATAGAGGACTTAGGGCAGTCCTTAGTTACAGCTCCTGCATTTTCTTATCTTCTTTGGAGAAGTTTCATTTCTTTTCCAAAGTGGACAAAGAAACTGCCCTTGAAGTTCTCCCTGGAATGAACAGTAGCTGGCAGATTAAGGCCAGAGTCTCAGGGCAGAGTTAAGGTATTTGTGGATGGTTCCTCCAGGATGACACAGGGAAAAGACATGATGGCTGTTCAGTGGTGGCTGCATTTAAATTAAGGATTATTAACTTGGGGAGATTGCCTAGTAACCGATCAAACTTGTGAGCTGTTTGCACTCAGGGGGGAACAATGTATATTGATTATGAATATACATTCGGTATGATATATCTTTGAGAAATATGGGCTGAGAGGGGATTAATTAAAAGAAACAAATCTTTAAAAAAAATACTGTCTCATGGGGAGGGAAGAGCTCTGTGCCTCTGTGCTTCCCGAGAGGGTGGTGAAGGTGCCAGTGGCCTTCCTCTGGGACGGTGCAGCACTGGCTTGTCTTTCCACTGAGCTCAAATGCTTTGACCGTCATGACTAGGCGTAAGCACTCGGGCTTGTCAGTGGTGCTTTAGCTATGAATGAGTCACAAGAAGCCTAGTTTATCGAACTGCAACAAGACCTCACCTCATCACTGTAATGTACCCAGAACTCTTCACCAACGTACCTTTAGGTAGCAATCCCGCTGCTCCTCCCCAAAGTCGCTGTCTTCATCTTCTTCACCGCTTCTCCAGTTCAAAGGCTGAGGGAGCTTCTTGTCCCACTGCTGCTCTGCAAGACCAGGACTGATATCTTCCTGGTCATCTTGCTATGCCAAGGAGGCGGCCAACAGTAAATACATATGCACGGGCCCACAAACATCACCCAGGGAGACCCCAAAGCGGCCCTCAACCTTCTCTGAGGGTCATTCCACACATCAATCCAGGTGCTCTCCAAACCCATACCTCAGGAGACAACAAGGGAGAAACGGGACAGGGAGAGGAGCTACCAGACAAATAAATGTCTTTTCAGGTCTTCTAAATAGATGTCTACTTCCTCAGGACTTTCCCTCGTCACTAAATCTACAAGTTAAAACCCTCAGAAAAGAAGACTTGGGATGGACAAGCCCTAAGAACACTGATATACATGGCTGCTCATCCCAGAAGGGGACTTTCAAAGGTCACAGTCAAGAAGTATTTTAGACAACACCATTTCTGCAAAGGGAATTAAACAAATTTGCTCTCTCATTCTTGTTTTTCTTCTTTCTTATCTGGACAGAACTACCTGGCAAATGTAACTAATTTGTTTAAATAATGAGTAGAAATATTGGTCTAAATAATTGAAAAGATAAGGAACTCTGGGCTCCAGTGGCTTATGCCTATAATCCAAGCTACTCCGGAGGCTGAGACCTGAGGATCACAGTTCAAAGCCAGTGAGGCAAGAAAGTCCATGAGACACATAACTCCAACAAACTACTTAGACAAAGCTGGAAGGAGAGCTGTGGCTCAAATGGTAGAGTGCTAGCCTTGAGCAAAGGAAGTTCAGGGGCATCACCCAGGCCCTGAGTTCAAGCCTCAGGACAGGCTAAAATAAGGGGAAAAGGGGAGAAGAAAAGATAAGGAACATGAACTTAAATACAGGCAAATAAAAGGAGGCTCTTCCTCTTACCTCTGCCACAGTAAGAATTCCATACTGGATAAACCTTCCGACTGTTTCATGGCAAACTTGGTAAAATGTCTGGCAGGGCTGAAAAGAACAGTCATTAAAACATAAATGTCACTGGCCCATACTGCACAAAGAGGCTGCTAAATCCTCATTAAAACATAAATGTCACTGGCCCATACTGCACAAAGAGGCTGCTAAATCCTCATTAAAACATAAATGTCAGTGGCCCATACTGCACAAAGAGGCTGCTAAATCCTTCCACTCTACCATCTCATCTACTGTCTTGGTAAATCGTATGATTCTTCATGCCCATTTGATAAATACATGCTCATGAACAAAGCACAGGAATGCCCTTTTCCAACAGGCAGTGCACCTGATGCATCACTACCTGCAGAGGGCGCTCCTGAACTAGATTCTGTCTCCCAATGGAGTAAGTTCTTTTGCTTTTTGAAGATGATCTGTCAAAGCTATTAAAGATTGTCCACAAGCCGGTGGCTCATGTCTGTAATCCTAGCTACTCAGGAGGCTGAGATCTAAGGATTGTGGTTCAAAGCCAACCCAGGCAGGAAAGTCCATGAGACTCTTATCTCCAATAAAATCACAAGAAAACTGGAAGTGGTGCTGTGGCTCAAGAGGTAGAGCACTCGCCTTGAGCTGAAGAGCTAAGGGACAGCACCCAAGCCCAGAGTTCAAGCCCCATGACCGACAAAAAAAAAAAAAAGATTGTCCACAAAAGAAGTAAGGAGATGTAACATTCCAATAATAAAAAAAGACCTGTGGAAAGGATGAGGCTTAGGATCCTTATCTGTCCACACGCATTCCCTGACTGACAGGTTCCCAGTAGGAGGAGCAATCCACCACACATGAAGCAGATGTGGAGGAGGACATACTCAAAACACACGTGCTTGGAAATGTCCCAAGACATTCATTGAAGGGAAAATAACACTGGAGTTCAAACATAAATCCTATCTGATGATTTTGAGAGTCCAACATCTATTTTTCAAAATATGTGCCTCATTATAAACAACTAAGTGTGAAGATGTGATATAAATCTATACTTGTAGTGAAGGGCTTCAGTGAACTGAGCAGGACTTGAGTGATGATTGTTAGGCTGTTCTGACTTTTTAAAAAATTATGATTATCTTTAAGTAGTTGTATAAAGGAGTTGCCACTTAACACAGCAGTTTATGAATACAATGCATCTTGATCAATGTCACTCCTTTCAACATTCACACTGTCTCAACTTTTGTCATCTGCTATTGGATCCTCCATAGGTGAGTGTGTCAATTACTAATGAGCTCACTACTCACTGGGGTTTCTTGCACAGTAGCCGCTCAGACTTTTGAGTCTTTAGAGTAGGTGCTCAGTGTCTTTGGATCTCACCAGTGGAGAACCTTGAGCAATCCACCCTATCCTACTCGGTGCCAGGGCACAGAGCCACAGAAATTCCACACTGGTTTTGTTGTCATTGACACCCACAGAAAGCTGGCCAAAAATTCTCTAAGAGATAAACAAAGGTGGTTCACCTCTCCACACAAAGGTTCAGAGAAAAGAGAGACAAGGTAACACAGAAGAGCCTCACTCACCAGAGAGATGGTGCCTTCGTTGGAGAGCAGGTAGCACAGGCTGGCTGCCTTCCGCACCAGCTGCTCCTGGCTGATCAGGCTGCCGGGGGTGCTGGCAGACCCTCCTGAGCCCCTCTTACTCAGAATGGCATAAAGGCTGCAGGCTGAGAAAATAAAAGCAACATTTAATGAACTTAACAGCACTGGGTCTCTCTATCTAAACAGGTGGTTGATATCAAAAACAATGGTTTGTGTGTGCTACAAATAACAGGGTAGAACCCAACAGGACTCTATTTCGATGATGCCACAGGATCCAGCCCCATCAAAGGTCTTCCTCCCAGCTCAGCCCTCTGCCTTCCTCCTTCTGCATTATCTTAACACGGCCCCTCCACTCTCTTCTCTGCCTTGTGGATCTGCCATCGCAGTTAGATTTTCAGCTCCAAGGTAACAAGACTCCTTACTTGGCCTCCATAGTCAAACATGCAACAGGGTAATTCGGTGAACTACATGGCAGCACAGCAGATTTTTATTTGAAAACCAAAACAACAAGGCACTCCCTCAAATAAGAGGCTGTTGTGTAAATCAAAGTAGACTCTACTGTGCGTTCCAGGCCCTTGGACACTGCAAGAAAATATCTGAGAATATCTGGGGGCCTGACTTACCTATGATGGCCTCCATGATAAAGACATGAAGCACCCCGTTGCTATAGAAGTTGAGTTCGAAGACGGATGGGACAGTTGTGTTGGGAGTAATAAAAAACTCATCATTCCGGCTTGTGTGTGTGATGGTGACACAGTTTCCCAGAAGCTGTATGGCATGCATGACTACATCTTCTGAGTTTCCTGAGAAACCCAGGTCAAAGTCACGAGCCAGCACTTCCTCCTTCATCACAAAGAAGTCTTCCACCAGTGTAGAGAGATGGATGCCCTAAAGACAAAGAAGGAAATGGTCTCATAACAGCAGAAAACGGACTTTCTAAAGGCCAAGGCCAATGTTTCCCAACAAGCAAGATCCACTTGCCTTGACCTCCCGCAGCTCACCACGGATGCCAACAGAAATAGGCCCAGACCACGAAACAGAACAAGTCAGAAAACCAATTCAAAAGCGCTTCCCCTTTCCCCCTCACGAAGGTCATTTCATGAGAACACACCAGATGCCAAAGAACACTCTAGCCACAGGAGCAAGGAAGATCATAAAGGGAAGGGAAGGTAAAAGTGCTTATTTTTTTAAGCAAGGATTTTCTCCATTTTAAATAGTTATCTGACAAGTATTTCGGGGCCTATCTACTGGCCCCATGTCTGGTGTCAAGAACACAACTGGCCAGGTGGGAATGTAAACTTATTCAACCACTTTAGAGAAGTATAGAGGTTCCTCGAAAGACTCCACATAGAGCTCCCCCATGACCCAGCAATCCCACTTTTGGCCATTTACCCAAGTGATCACAAACAAGGCTATACTAAAGCTACCACCACAATGTTTATCACAGCATTATTTACAATAACTAAGATATGGAACCACCCAGATGCCCCTCAGTAGATGAATGGATCAAGAAAATGTGATACAAAATGGAATTCTATGCCTCCATCAGAAAGAATAGCATCACCCCATTTGTTAGGAAATGGAAAGACTTGGAAAAAATTATATTAAGTGAAGTAAGCCAGGCCCAAAGAAACAGAGGTCCCATGGTTTCCCTTATTTGCAATAATTAGTGTATGTCTAGGACAAGCAGAAAAGGTCAAAAGCTATGTACCTATGACCATATAAGATGATGCTAAGCAAAATGAACCCCAAGACAGGGACACAAGTGGTTTTTTATTTCTTGCTATTGTTTTTAACATACTTATAATGTACTATGTGATTTTTTTTTGTTTCTTTGGTATGTTCCTCCCCCACGGTATAACCCGTTTCACTGTATTTGATTTGGGTGCCCTGAATCTTGTATATACACTTTTCTAATTTGGGGAGGGGAAGGGAAAAAACAAAATGCTTAAATAGGGATACTGGTTGACCCATTATAACAATGAAATGTAGAAGACACTATGTTGAAAATGAACTTTACAACTTGTAGGGGGTTGGGAGGGAGGAGTTGGGGAGGTGGGGAAGGAAGGGATGGTAGGGGAAAAACAAAAGAGGATATAACAATGCTCAATAGGAAATGTACTCATTACCTTATTCATGTAACTGTAACTCCTCTGTACACTATTCTTACAATAAAAATTGTATTTAAAAAAAAAAAACACAACTGGCCAGGATAAATGTGCTCTCTCCCCCTGAACAGCTTAGACAGATTAGCTGGGCTAAAACTCATGGTGAATTCCAAAGTACAAGTCAAATCACTTAGAAATGGTTCACTCTCAGAATGCCAAGAGATGTCATTGAAATATATCCTCTTTACACTAATCATATTAACCAACGAATGTCATATTACTATGCATATGAGTCTTTCTTATGTACCTTTTTAAATTGTGTAATATAATGGGTTTCATTATGACATTTTCATACATGTGTACAATGTACCTCGATCATCTTCCTCCACCAGATTTAGAAACTCTTCTGGACAGGGTCCTAGGCTAATGTCACTTTTTACCCCACAGTACTAGCAGAAACAGGAGAAATCTACCCTGGATAAGTAGACAGCTGGCAAAACATCTCGGACTATCTCCTGAACTACCGGTGGCGCTGCAGACATACCTGCCTGTGTCTGTAGAGGAGCAGGCAGGCCACGATGTGGGTGGACATAATGGCACAAGACTTGCTAGCAGCTGGAAGGCAAACACAGAGCTTTATTTGTACTTTCTTTTCATTTAAAACAAGAAGTATTTAAAGTCCTGACTACCACAATTTCCATAATTGCATTTGTCAATGGAAACACAACTGGATTTCCCAGAGTTCTGTGCACCAGACCCTTCTCGGAGATCACTGCTCATCAGGCCACAGCCTGAGTCAGGTCCAGCTTCAATCCAGGCCCATGGGATTATGTTATTGAATGACCAAAATATGCCTTTATTGAAATGCCAAGACATAATAATAATAATAATAATGTAGTGACTCTACATCACTCTCTTACAGATATCTACCACATCAAAATGAAGGTACAGTAAAAAACCAAAAGAGGATTTGGAGTTAGAATAAAGTGAACTCCAGTCCTAACTTCTACACTTATTTCACAAATTCCTGAGCCTCAGTTTGAAACTTCTATCCAGCCCAGGGGGCCAGCGAGTTCACCATTGTGAGTATTCAGACTGAGCTCATAAGGGAAGTATATTGGTTTAATTTCTTCTTTGCAGCCTAGCCCAGTTAGGGAGAGAGGGAGTAGAAACTCAAGTGAAAACACCAATACTGCATAATCTAACACTCTGAATATGTATAGAATGATCATTGTATAGATCAGTTACGTGAATGACCCAAGAATAATCTCAAATGATGATGTCATTTGTGAGTTTTCTGGGAGATGACAATGAAAACTGACAGTTTCCGTGTGTGAAAAAAAGAAATAAAAGAATGCAGTTACATATTTCATCGTTCTAGCAATACAAAGTACCATATTTCTAGCAATTACACCAAGACTTTTTATAAAGAGTTCTTTATAAAAAATAAATGTATTATAAGTGAAAAACAGCACAACACAAAGCTATTAAAGTATCTGTAGAGATTAAACAGCAACATCACTTGTTATCTGGGTAATGGATATATTTCACCTTCATTTTCCAGCCCTTCAAGTAACAGGAAGTACTTAGTTAGCATCCAGATCTTAGGCAAAGGAAACACACAATCAACTGTCCTTAAAAATACAATGACATGGGGCTAGGAAGGTGGCTCAGTGGTGGAGTGCTTGCCTTGCATACATGAGGCCCTGGGTTCAATTCCTCAGCACCTCATAAGCAAAAAAGAAAAAAAGCCAGAAGAGGCACTGTGGCTCAAGTGGTAGAGTGCTAGCCTTGAGCTGAATTGCTGAGGGACAGCGCCGAGGCCCAGAGTTCAGGCCTCACAACTGACAAAAAAATACAACCAATGATGTGATCTGGAGATCACAGATGGCTCAGAGACAGAGCCCTTGCCTAGCAAGTGTGCAGTCATGCATTGAGCTACAGCACTGTGAACAGAAGGGAGAAAGGGAAAAGGGAAGGAGAAGGAAAGAAAGGAGGAAGGAGAAGAGGGAGTGAGAAAGAAGGAAGGAGATTTTAAAAAAGGAGGGAGAGATTGAGAAAGAAAAGAAAGAAGGAAAGGAGGGAGTGAGTAAGGAATGGAAGAAAGGAAGAGAGGGAAGAAGGGAGGTTCCCGTGGCTGGGAGTCAAACAGGAAGAGGAACTGCTAGAAGGGAAGGAGCAAGCTGAGGGGAAAGGTCCTCCAGGACAGTGTGGGCAGGAATTGCTCACAGCCTGACTTAGACATGGCTGCAGGAATGTCCAGAAGTTCCCGCAGGGGCTCAGCACCAAGACAGCATGGTGCTGCTGTCTGGGATTCTAAAGCAACCTCTACAACAGTTCCCAGTGATGCACTATTTATGGCTGGGGCATAATGCCTTCAGTTCATATTCTTCAGGGCCACTCTGACTTAGGTATTTATACACAATTATTCCATGGAGAGGAGCAGAAGCTATCTGAGTGCAGAATCACTAGGGACCCATTTGTATTCCCCATAGCTCAAACCAAGCTTCAGGATTAATAGTCGCTCAATGTTTACTGAATAAGATACCCAAGGGGTTTGAGGAGAAAGAGATCTTCAACTATAAACCTAGATGATGTACCACACATAATTCAAGACACCTATTCAGCCTGGCACCAGAAGCTGCCACATGTCTGTAATCTTATCTACTCAGGAGGCTGAGATCTGGTTTGAAGCCAGCCCACGCAGAAAAGTATCTGTAAGACTATTATATCCAATAAACTACTCAAAAAAGTCCAAAGTGGTGCTGTGCTCAAGTGGTAAAGTAGATGCCCTGAGTACAAAGCAGCTCAGGGACAGCACCTGTCCCTAAGTTCAAGCCCAAGGACCACCACCAACAAAAACAAATATTCAGGGTGGGGGCATGGCCCAAATGGTACAGCACTTGCCTAGCAAGTGAGAGATACTGTGTTCAAACCACAGCGCCACGAAAAAAAGAATACCCAAGGAACCATAAGCAAAAGGAGCCACACCTCATTTTGACAAAACTATTGTTTTAAGAGCACAGGTACTATCCCATGACACCTACAGCATAGCAGGAGGCACTACACACTTCAAACCTCTAGTGTTCTTTCTAAAACTTTAACTGTCACCTTCTGGGGATTAAGTAATAGACCTAGTAGAAGAAATTACCCCCAGTAACCTGCAGAGTTTCCACTGTGCCACATGGATTCTGAGCTGAAGAATTCAGTTTGGAATTGTACTCACTGAAGAGAATGTGTTCCGCCAGATTTGCAATCAGCCTTCGTCGAAAGGATTCATCGGCTGCATTCCGGGACTCATTACTAGACGTGTCTACACCTTCATCAGCAGCATCATTAGGTCTGAAATGATTGTAAAATCAGTGCCCCTGTATCCCCAATCTTTTACAAGGCAAATGACATGGGATTAAGTCTACAAATATATAGATACTTCAAATTCCTACAGACTTCTAACTTACACCACAAATAGGTTGTTACTATGGATTGTTTCCCATCATAACCTACTTTATTAGATTTTGTATACTGTCCTGAACTAAATGTGTTATTTAGTTATGACTACATATGTTATTTGGTTGTTGGCACATTGCTTCCAAAGATGACTAGCAGAAAAAAAATGAAGAAAATAGATGTCACATTTTCAAACACATCTGCAAATAATGCTTCCACTTATTAAAGGAAGAGCTTCTTATACAATTCAATTTGAATTCTGAAAATTCAAATAGCACAAAATCTTACATGTTTCATTTATACATGACATAAGTAACCTAAGTTACTACAAAGAATTTAGTTCAAACATTCAAAAACATAAATCAAATTAGAATTCCCATATAATTCACAAATCAAAACTATTTTATATGCAAATCATCAAAAAACCCAAATACACATTTTCACAACCTTTAGCAGATCAAAGGAAAAGTTAGTCCCATGAGGAAATGAGCAAGAATAATATTCTATTTATTAGCACATATACAATATTGCAGCTTTCTCTATATATACATATAGCGTACTTCAATCACATGCATATCTATTACTCTTTCTATTCCCTTCCTTTCATTTATAATTTTTTGCAATAGATAATGGGCTCCATTAGGCTATTTTCTTTCTTTCTTTCTTTCCTTCTTTCTTTCTTTCTTTCCTTCTTTCTTTCTTTCTTTCTTTCTTTCTTTCTTTCCTTCTTTCTTTCTTTCTTTGTTGGTCATGGAGCTTGAGCTCTGGGCCTGGGTGCTGTCCCTCAGCTCTTCGGCTCAAGGCAAGCGCTCTACCACTTGAGTCACAGCACCACTCCAGTTTTCTGGTGGTTTATTGGAGATAAGAGTTTCACAGACTTTGCTGCTAGGACTGGCTTTGAACCATGATCCTCAGATCTCAGCCTCCTGAGTAGTTAGGATTATAGGCGTGAGCCACCGGTACCCTGCTTAGGCTATTTTCATGCACGCAAATAATATACATCAATAATTTTAAACCCCTCCCCTTAGCTTCTCCCCCTTCCCACTGACTGGTTCCACCCCCTCCTTTTACATTTATGTCATACATATTTACATCTAGATTCTGTATATGAGAGGAAACACAGCATATTTGTTTTTTTGAGTTTGCCTTATTTTGAAAAGACATGTCCTTTTAATAGTAACCTACTTTTATATGCAAAATAAGAAGTAATAGTTATTTGATAGCTTAGTTAATATAAAAAATTTATGCAAATCTTACCTGGAAGGAAGTATCACTGGTAACAATGCTTGCTCCAAAGAATGGGGCGCAGACACAGGTTTCTGACTTTGGCTTTCTAAATACTCCTGGAAAAAAAACAAAAACAAAAACAAAACAAGAACATGAGGAATACTCTTGTTGTCTTACTTTCCTATCAACATATAAAATATATTTTGATTTTCAAAGGTTAAAAGTAACCAAATACCATTGGCTGGTGCCTGTAATCCTAGCTACTAGGAGGCTGAGATCTGAGGATTGTGGTTCAAAGCCAGCCAGATCAGGAAAGTCTATAATACTCTTATCACCAGTTAACTACCCAAAAGCCAGAAGTGCAGTTGTGGCTCAAGCAGTAGAGTGTTAGCCATGAGCAAAAAATCTCAGAGACAGCACCCACACCCTAAGTTATAGCCCCAAGACTCACACACACACACACACACACACACACACACACATACACACACACCACACAATGGTTAAAGGGAGATATTTAGAAAACAGGTCATGGTAAAAAGTTTAGAAATACTTTCTATATCTAAAGCATGTCCAAAATAAGTCATAAACAATTAGGGAGCATGGAGTTTAGGAATGGAACATACAAAGAATAGATGATTAGTAAATAAAATAAATCATATTAAGTGAAGTAAGCCAGGCCCATGGTTTCCCTTATTTGCAATAACTAGTATATGTCTGAGACAAGCAGAAACGGTCAGATAAATTGATGTTAAGTGAAATAAACCCCAAGATAAGGACTCAGTGGTTTTTCTTTCTTGCTATTGTTTCTAACATCTTTATAAGGTGATTTATTTGTTGCTTTGTATGTCCCTCCCCCATGGTATAACCCTGTTTTCACTGTATTTGATGTTGGTATAATTTGGGGAGGAGAAGGGAAAAAACACATTGTTTAAATAGGGATATAGGTAGGTCCACTGCAACAATGAAATGTACAAGATACTATGTCAAAAAATGAACTTTACAACTTTGGTGTGTGGGGGTGGGTGTTGGTAAGGGGAAACAAAGGAGGAGGCAACAATGTTTGATAAGAAATGTACTCATTACCTTGCTCATGTAATTGTAACCCCTTTGTATGGTATTTTTACAATAAAAAAACTTACTAATAAAAAAATTTTTAAAATGAAACCTGACTTTTGTTTGGAAACTATATAACTTCAAAATTAGTAACACTGATAACTGAGACAACCACCTTTGAAGGAAATCTGGCAATCTGAGGCCCGTAATACTTAATAAAAGTGCAATACCAAAGTGAATTGTTCTCTATTCTCCAATAGAGAAGGTGTGTGATCATTTAAAAAAATAAAAGACCAAGAACAAGTAAGAATTGGTGCAGTTCCTCCACAGTTAAAACGCAGAAGGCCAGAAAGAATCCACATAGCAGTCAGAATCTTCTTTTCCATTTGTAGGAGAGGGTATTAAACACAGGCCCTACTAGTTAGGCAAGGGTTCTACCATTTCAGCTAAGCCTCCTGCTATAGTGTAAAGCCTTTTTCTAAGCTCATATTCTTGTAAAAGTAGATGTAGAACAGGAGAATCAGGGCCTCTGCTCCTGCCTCAGTTTCTTACCTATACCTTTCTCTGTCTCTCTCCTTTATTCAATTTGAAAATCAATGGAATTTAAGATGGCGGGATCTCAGGGAACTGGCAGTCCCAGGCTTTTAATGAGATTGGAATTCCCCTTGGGGTTTTAGAATACTGGATCCTTCTTTAGCATACAGCATCATCCTATCCATTTTATCTGGATTTTAGGGGAAGTATTTTAAGTATTTTTTAAAAATTCCCCCTAAATGCAATACCTATTAAACTTTAAAACATAACACAGGACACCAACATGTATCATAAAGTAATATGCAAGAGTCTCATGATTTTTTTTTCTTTTGTTAATTGTGAGGCTTGAACTCAGCGCCTGGGCAACTGTCCCTGAGCCTCCTTGTATTCAAGGCCACAGTGCCACTTCTGGTTTTTGAGTGGTTAACTGGAAATAAAGAGTATCACAGGAACTTTTCTGCCTAGAGTTGCCTCAAACCGCAATCCTCAGATCTCAGCATCCTGAGTAGCTAGGATTACAGGTGTGAGCCATCTATGTCCAGCGGATTTTTTTTTTCTTTTTTAATAGCAATAAATAGCTTGGCATCTCCCAAAGATAGTCATCTCACCTCTGTGTCACTAGGCACACTTTGACTAAAAAGTTCAGGTGAGGTTACTTTTTTCATAGTGCTGCTTTTCAAGAAAGGAAAAGGATGTCACAGTCAGCAAACATTGGATTAGAGCTGGAACAAGCCCTCAGGGTTTTTTGTTTTTGTTTTTTTTTTTGCCTCCAGACAATGCTTTGACCATAGTTGATACCAACAGGCTCTCACCTTTAAAGAAAATGGTTGTGCGAAGTCCACTCTGACATAGCCATAGTTTTTCCGTAACATCCTAATAACACCTCGTGCTACACTCCACAGGCTCTCATTCTTCTTGGGTTTGCCCTAAATTCCAGAGGTGAAAAAACAACACAGTAAGAAATAAGTCAGGTACAGCCATTCTGCTTTCCAAAGGATAGGAGTACAAGATTAAAAGAAGAAAACAAGTTACCCATTAACTAATACCTATAAGAAAATGTTTAGTGTTTACAGAAGCTAAAAGATGTAATGAGTTGCGGAGTCAATATTTACTACTATTCCATTTAGTTCCCATAATTCACATAAGTATAGCTACAAAGTAATGAAGGAAAAAATGCCATAACACCCTAAAAACCATTCTGTGAGCAGTCCAAGGGGCTACCTATCTGAAGTCTGTGGATTACCAAGCCTAAATACCTAACTTCAAAGCACTAAATGTCATTATTAACCTCACAGTGTCCACAGAGCTGACTATTTGCTCAGAAAGCATTTATCAAGTATTTGTTGTACATAGAAGGGGAATCGTGAAAGACACCCTTGCATATACAGTCAGGATATTCAAGGACACATAGGAAGAATGCCACTCATCTGGTAATCCAAGTCCATCCCTTAAAGTATAAAACCTACAGTGGTCATGTGTCCTTGAATACCTCACTTATTTAAAGCGGCAAGTTTGAAACAAGTACACTAATTCAGGACCAAACTTGATTCCTCACATTGTTGGTAGATGTGGTAAGGTAGAAGAACCAAAATGTATGAAAGTTCAACATACATACTCTATGATCTATCACTTCTACCCCTAGGTAGATGTCAAAATGAATATATAGGGTACCAAGGATCAACTGTGGCTTATTCATGTATTGGAATACTGAGTGGCTTTGAGAATCAACTAATTACATACAGCAACAGAGAAGAATATCAAAAATACCTGTGAGAACAGAAGGAACTAGATCCCAAAAGAGTAAGCACTATTCATCCCATTTATATAACGCTTAGTAACAAGCAAAACTAATATATTCTGTAAGAAGTCAGATAAGTGGTTATTCAGAAGGGACTGATGACAGGAGGGGCCCAAGGGAGCCTTGTGGAATCTTGATGTGTTTCCCTCATTTGAATGCTGATTACATAGATATATGCACTGTAAATAACTCAGTGTGCATATTAATGATTTATGCATTCTTTGGGGTAGAAAGTTCATTGCAGCCAGATGATGGTGGTTCATGCCTAGCTACTAAGGAGGCTGAGATCCAGAAGTTCATGTTTTGAGGCCAGCCCCAAAAGAAAAGTCCAAGTGACTTCATTTCCGAAATAATCAGCAAAGAATTGGACTAGATATGTGATTCAAGTTGCAAGCTAAATGTGAGCCCAGAGTTCAAACTCTGGGACTGGAAAAAACAAAGTTTACCAGTGAGCTGGAGATATTGCTCAAGTAGTAAGATATATGTCTACTCTGTATAACAAGTACAAGGCACTGAGTTCAAACCCCACTACTACCACTATCCACTCCCCCCCCAAAACTGATTGAAAATAAATACCGCCACCCCTCAAATTAATTTGTTGTTCTTTTGTCCACATGAGCCCGCCAGTTCTTCAGGCTTAATTGAAATAAATGCACACACAATTAGCCGGCCCTTAGGAGAGGGGCCAGAAGCCTCCACTTCCCAGTCCTATGACCAAGGCCAATACATCTAATTGTGCATAGGAAAATACCACACAAGAAGTCTCTGCCTAGTGGGTGTCGGAGAGGAAGGCGGTCACCATGCCTCCCCAGCCATGTTTCAAGACTGCTCTCCAGTTAGACAATACTAAGAGATACTCTTAGTTAATCCTATAAGCAAAACCAAATGCTAATCATTAGATCTAAAAGAAAACCTGTAAAACAAAACTGAATTTTGCATAGGCACTTCCCTTACCAGTTGTTCACCATTATAGTGACCTTCAATTATGCGATCGTAGGAGATGCCAACCGGTATCACCAAGATGTCGGGGATGGTGTTGGTGGAAAGAGTGTCTACCACCACTGACAACAGTCCTGCCCGGGCACAGGAGGTTTTCCCACTACGGGAGCGTGTGCCTTCCAGAAAAATCTCCAAGAACTGCTGCTGCCGGAGTAGCTCAACTATATGCTGGAGTACGAGAGAAAGCAACACATGAACTTAGTTAGCCACTCAACTTAGATGAAGTGGGAAAAAATTTTCAGGCAAAACCCAGAAAAAAATAGAAACTATAACTTTACTAACGACAAAATATTTCACCTGCACAAATAGCATTAAAGAAGCTTTACCAACACTGTATTTTGGAAAATTCAAAAAAAAAAAAAAAAGTTCATACTTACACCTAAGCCATCATCATTCAAAAGATTCTGAGAATAGTTTTATAAACACTTCAACCCAATCAAATCTTTGTCCTTCCACTTGCTAGCTAACGTAATGGCTTTAAGAATAATTAGAAATCATACACACCCCATGAAGCAAAGCTCTATAGAGAATATCTTTCCGTCCATCTGGTGTTTCATCTAGCCTCCGTCGTATGAAAAAGCCCCCAAGCTTATGGATCAAGGTACTATAAATTCAAAAATGCACTTATTATTTACAAGGAAAAAAAGTCAAATTCCAAGTTACTTCACAACAGTTGCCATTTGTATAAAAACGATCTGTGTTGCCTGAGAGCTGACAGGGAAAATGCAGACATTTATTTTCATGTTATTGACACGTCTCACCCATTTACATTCCATCAATCTGGAGCCTGGAGATCAGTATGTATACTAAAGTTCTAGTACAGCAGTGCCAAGCCAGAGGATTAACCCTGGTGTGCTACCCAGAAGAGAACATGGCACAAATTGTGTAAGGATGATTATTAAAATGCTGTCCACAATCTCAAGATATGGACATTGTCCCATTTCCAGACACACTGAAACTTTCAAATTTGTCTGTAACAAATTTACAGAATGAAGAAAAGTTCCTTGGGGAAAATATTCTCAAATAATTATTACTTAAAGAAGCCAAGGAGAATTCACTAACTTGAAACTGGGTGAAAATAATCTTCATGTACACAGGAATCAAAAAATCCTGATCACAAACCATGTCTATTTTAACAGCATTGATCACCTGTGATAAGAAGTTGCAATTTTCTAAGCCAGGTTTTCCAAACTCACAGCATCTTCCTATTCTCTCAAATGGAATAATTCTTTTCAAATAGATACAGAAATATTTTTATGTATATTGCTATAGAGAAATAATAATTTAAATAATATTTAAATATTTTAAATAATATTTTGAATATTTGTATGTGTATGTGTGTGTGTCGGTCATGGGGCTTGAACTCTGAGCCTGGGCACTGTCCCTCAGCTCTTCAGCTCAAGTCTAGCACTCTACCACTTGAGCCACAGCACCACTTCCAGATTTCTGGTGGTTTATTGGAGATAAGAGTCTCACAGACTTTTCCTGCCTGGGATGGCTTTGAACCCAGATCTCAGTCTCCTGAGTAACTAGGATTACAGGCATAAGCCACTGACAGCCAGCTATATTAGTGTATTTTGGTATCCTCCATAGTCTATATAAAGACTGAGTATCACTTTGAATTCATCCTGCAATGTAAATTCATAATGAGCTGGGGGCTTGGTGGCTCATGCCTATAATCCTAGGTACTCAAGAGACTAAGATCTGAGGATTACAGTTCAAAGCCAGCCTAGGCAAGAAAGTCCATGAGACTTGTATCTCCAATTAACCAGTTAAAAAGCAGGAAGTAGAGCTGTGGATCAAGTGCTAAAGTGCCAGCCTTCAGTGAAAAGCTAAGTAAGAGTGCGAGGCCCTGGGTTCAAGCCCCAATACCAGCATGCATACACACGCATGCATGCACACATACACACATTCATAATCATGTACCCCAGAAGCAGTTTATGACTATGTGGGTAGGAATGTGACAAAACAAGGCTGCAGAGAAATAGGCTGGTGATTTATGACAATTGTCTATGTCTAAAGAAGGAAGGCTAAGTAGTAACTGACTCAAAGTTCATGAAAGGGCTGAATTGTGAGAAAGTATGAGTAAATGGGAATGTGGTTGCTCTAATGACAAGAAGAGGCCAGCCTTCTCTGTGACCCCATGGGAACAGTCTTCCTCCTGTGAGACTGTCCACCAGCAACTTTATGATGCCCTTCACATTTCAGATTCCTTGACCTCAGGACAGGATGCGCCGGGAGTAAAAACAGCTATTCTACCACCCAGAAACCAGGCCTGCCCTGTAGGGTCCAATCACAGTATATTGAAGCTAAATGTTTATTTGTCAGCATGCCTCATTGTAAGCTACTTGACAGAGAAAAATACATGTGCTCTGGAAGCTGGATAAGTATCAATGACTGCATGATTGGACGGCTATGCCTCTGCTGATCACATGAGGCTGGTTAGCTATCCAAGTCCAACACTGAGCCAATGGGCTGGGAACCTGCTCCTGGGCTGGGGATGCTGAAGCCCAGACTGCCACTCTGTACTGCTCTACCTCTCACCGGCTAGGCCACTTCCCTTCCTGTTTCCATCCAAATGAGTCTCCTCTGCTTCACCTTCTACTCACAGAGCTGACCTTACAGCTACTTTTTTCTCAAACCAGCTCAACCCAGTCCTCACCAGCTACCAAGTGGTGATCAGACACACTGTTGACCCTGTTTAGCGAATAGAAAACACCTGTGTCTCTCCTAATACTCTGCTGAACCTGAATCTGGGTTAGTACCAAGTCTTACACATTCACAAAGTACTAAATAGTTTTCAACTTACTACTTTTCAAATCTTCCTATGCCTTCCTCCCAATGAGTACTACTGCACTTCTCATTGAAGCCCTCATTATCTTGTACCCAAACTATTAGAATCAGAATTGAGCTGGGTACCAGTGGCTCACACCTGTAATCCTATCTATTCAAGAGGCTGAGATCTGAGGATCATGGTTCGAAGCCAGTCCAGGTAGAAAAATCCCTAACACTCTTGTATCCAACTAATCAACAAAAAGCTGGAACTGGAAGTATGGTCCAAGTGGTAGAACTCATTTCTTGACTGAAAAAACGAAAAACAGAATCCATTGAACTTCTAATCTAATGTCACCTTTCAAAGCACAGCACCTGTCATTTCTCAAGTAAAGGACAGACACCATACTCTTGGCTGAGAACTTCTTTTAACCCATCTCTTACTACATGTGCAGCTACCAGCCTCTGATCTCTCCCACCTATCTGCCTATCACCTCCCAATCCCATCACACCCCATGGCTTCATTTTCCATAGAATGCACTGCCTTCTCCTGAAAACTCTAACATACACCGTTCATGTTACATTGTACTTCCCACATTTCTAGCTCTATCAAAGAATGAGTTTAAAGTAATAGGTTACTCTTATCGAAAGCGAATATTGTTCCTATAAAGTAATGGCTACCCATTACTACCCAAACAACACTCAGGCCCTACTGCCAAGCCTGATACACTAATCACTATGTGACCTTTTACCCACTTCTAAATATTACTCATCACACTTGAGTATGGTTAGTTCACTAAGTATCCCACAGGAAATATATAAACATAGGAGATAGATAATGGTTTTCTTTTTGGACTATTCCAGTTTTATACACTCCACAATCACTACTTTTGTAACACTATAACACAATAACATGTGTCAAAACATGTAACAAATACAGTGACAACAGGAGATAAAGCACAGGGGGAAAACAGAAGAAAAAAGAAATTATATAGTACATTAAAAATAACAACAACAAAGAAAAACCTTTTGTGTCCATGTATTGGGAATTCATTTCACTTACCATCATCTTATATGGTCATATGTACATAGCTATTAGCTATTCTGCTCATCTGCTAAGATTATCCTAGACATATACTAATTATTGCAAATAAGGGAAACTATGAAACCTATGTTTCTTTGGCTCTGGCTTACTTCACTTAATATGATTTTTTTCCAAGTCCTTCCATTTCCTAACAAATGGGGCAATGTCATTCTTTCTGATGGAAGCATAGAATTCCATTGTATATACATACTACATTTTCTTGATCCATTCATCTACTGAGGGGCATCTGGGTTGTTTCCATATCTTAGCTATGATGAATAATGTCGCAATAAACATAGTTGTGCTGGTAGCTTTAGTATGGCCTTGTTTATGGTTAGGGAAGGGAAAGGGAACAAAAAAAAATGGTGAGACAAAGGACAAAGGGGGAATCTATGAAATAGCAATACTCACAAGATAGTATGTTGGAAATGATCTGTACAACTTGGGGGGGGCGTTTTGGAGGGAGGGAAAGTGGGAGGAAAATGAAGGAGAGTAACAACTTAGACAAGAAATGTACTTACTACCTTACGTATGTAACTGTAACAACTCTGTACATCACCTTGACAATTAAATTAAAATTAAAAAAATACAAACAATAGCAACAACAAAAGTCAGAATAGCTTTAAATTTTCAATCAACTGTCCAACTGAGCCAATCTTACCTGAAGATGGGAATGTTTAGGTTATTGCCCGAAGCGATGTAGGGCGCTTTGATGTTGTGGCAGAAGAGAATGAAGGTGAGCAGCAGGTAGTCGATATGGGACCGGTGCACAGGCAGGAACAGAAGCGGCAGACTTGTCTAATAGAAAGAAAAATGTCAAATTTCAAATTCAAACATTAAGTCCTAGCCCTCTTTCCAACCATGCTTTGTTTAGGATCACTAATCAGTAACTCTCTCTTTGAAAACATTTTACGATAATAATTCTTCTTTACCTTGAATACTTATGCAGCTAAATGTAAGAGCAACTATAACAACAAAAATCAATTGGGGGAAGAAGAAAAGTAATCAAGGGTTCAAGTTGACTCCAGACATCTAAGAGGTAACCCTAATCATGAGGGGGGAAACAAAGAACATAGAAGATTTTTTTTCTTCTTTTTGTGCTGGTACTGGGGCTTAAATTCAAGACCTCATGCTCTCACTCATGCTCAATGTTGGTACTCTACCACTTGGATCCATACCTCTAGTTGCAGGTTTTTGCTGGTTAGGATACAAGTTTTTTAGATTTATTTTCCCCAGGCTGCTTTCAAATTGAGATCCTCAGAGCTCAGCCTCCTGAATAGCTAGGAATATAGATGTGGGCCACTAGTGCCCACAAAGCACAGGCTTTTTGAACCAGGCCTCGGTTAAACTACTTCATATCTGTGATTGAGAACAGCTTCTTAAGCTGCCTGTATCTCTGTTTCTTGTGCATAAAATAGAAATTTGTGCCATCTCGTTCCCAATAGCTTATAAAAGTGACTCTGAACATTATCCTCAGGCTGCCTTGGCCCCATCTCTCCCCCAACTGGCGAGGATTGGAGTGTTGCTGGCCACTGCAGTATCACAATAAGGGGAAGTCTTCCAAGTGGGTTGAAACAGAAAACAACACACGGGGAGCATTTCTAAAAGAACTCCGTAAACTCTCTACAATCGGTCCATACACATGGGCAAAGAAACAGCAGGTTCACAGAAATGCTTGCCTCGGTTGCAGCTTTAACCATCTCAAGTTGACCCTTGTGAATCTGAATGTTCCAGAAGAAGCTGTTGAATAGTTTTAGCAGCACCCACCCCGTCAATCTGAAAGAAATATTTTGTAAAAATTAGATCTATACACATATAAGTATCCATCTGTATAGGGTTGACTTTGTTTCCTTCAGTTTCTGAGCCAACAACCTAAGAGTACTTGAAAATGACCTCATGTGTGTGCATGGACATCTGTGTATCTGAACTGAAGAATTAGTGGACTAACTTTAAAGACATATTCCTTATAGAAGTACCCACTTATTATAGACTAAGATCCCATTTCACCCCAATAACGCTTTGTACTTCAAAGACAAATGACCAAGCTAATATTCAGTGAGCAGAATGATCCCTGTAATACACACAAACCACTCCCTTATGACACATCAGCACAGTTTAAGGCAGCTTTAAGCCTACACGGTGTTACTTCTCACAGAGATTGAGTACACATCTAAAAGGTGAACAAAAGTAGCAGTGTTCCTCACTAGACACTACTGAAAATGAACTATATAACTTGTGGGTGGGATGGGAGGGAAAAACTGAGAGAAAGCAAAGGAAGGGGTGACAATGTCCAAAAAGAAATGTGCTCTTCACCTGACTTACATAACTGTAACCCCTTTGTATATCACCTAACAATAAAAAAATTAAATTAAAAAAAAAAGGAAGTGAACTGAACACAGAAATGCAAGGCAGTATCTTCTTCCATGAGCACAAAACTAGGGAGGGAAATGCAAAGTCTATCCCTGTTTGGTTGCAAGCTTCTGCTTTGTCTTTTCATACCTGATCATCCCTGGTGACACAGTAGCGACCATTTCTTGAAGGATCTTTTTGGCTTTCTTCTTCACTTTCTGGAGGGCTTTGGATTGCTGCTGGGCAGAACCATCCGAATTCAACTCAGCAGCCACTTCAGCAATTGCCTCTTGTACTCTGAATTGAACATGGAAAGACATACAATGTAACTAGTTCTATGCTATATTCCCCAGCTAGAAATCACACAACAAAATGTTCACAATGTATGTTCTCTTTAATAAGCCATAACAGAAGAAAAAAAAAGCTCAACTTAGAAGTACTCTCCCTGGCTCTCTATTAATAATGTGCCAGGTTTCATAATCCTACATCGATATATCCCCCAGCAATCTTTTTTTTTAATTTTTATTTTTTTGTTGTGAAAATACTGTACAGAGGGGTTACAATTACATGGGCAAGATAATGAGTACATTTCTTATCATCCCCAGCAATCTTAAAAGCAGACTTAAATTCAGATACAGTGGCTGACAGAGAGCTATGAGGAATAAAAATGTTACTCTAACAAAACAGAAAAAGAAAAGTTATCCTTTTAGGCAAACTATTCAGAGGCATGAAAAAACCCACTGTCAAAGTGATGTGTGATTTGTCTTTTGAAATCCTAACTTAATATTTACTTATACTGTCCCCCTATTAGAAGAACCGCATGCAAAAATCTCTGGGAAATATCAAAGAGGGGAATTAAATATTTCAAGATTTTTTTCCTAAATTGAACCACTAATTTAAAAAAAGCATAGTTCAAGATCAAAACAGCAATAAGAAATGAGTTAAAGGGAAAAATCTAATGAAGTTTAACTCTTTCACTTGACTTAGTAAAGAAAACATGAGGTTAAATGTTCATAAGCCACATCTAACATCCTAGTTACTACTCAAAATAATGGGCCAGCTGAAACATATGTAAAGGGTTTTTAGTTTTGTTTGTAGTTTTAAAAACAATCTTTAAAAATTAATATGTGCATTACAGGAAACACGCACACTGGAAACAAAGAGTGAGTTATCCAAGACTGCAATTCTTTCTAGCTGGAATTCTTTCTAGGTCCTACATGTTCACATAAAAATCCATTTTAGATCACTAGGATCATACAGAATGTGTCGTGCTTTTCTATACATGGTGACTATTTGCCAATTTAAAATCCCAAAGCTCCATGAATACTGTGCAAACCAAGAATCCCCTACAGCAATCTTATAAATAAACAAATTGTAATGTTTTCCTTCAGGACATATTTTTCGCTGAGGACAAAACATGACACCAGGACTGTGTATAGAAGTAGTGGTAGAGCCGGGTGGCGGTAGCTCACACCTGTAATCCTAGCTACTCAGGAGGCTGAGATCTGGGGATTGAGATTCAAAGCCAGCCCGGGCAGGAAGGCTGGAGAAACTCTTATCTCCAACAAACCACCAGAAAACTGGAAGTGGCACTGTGGCTCAAGTGGTAGAGAGCTAGCCTTGAGCTGAAGAGGTGAGGGACAGCACCCAGGCCCAGAGTTCAAGCCCATGACTGACAAAATAAATAAATAAATAAATAAGAAGTAGTTATAGTAACAATTAAGATACTGCTTTTCCTTAGCTCTGAATTTCAAATGAGACAAAATGCAACAGAAAACACTGATGCAACATTTCTAAAAGGAAGTTTATTAACAAATATGAACTACTAAAATATTAGCAAGAAGATGCTATACCCAGAAGATGGACACATTAATGACTTCCCAAACATACTGAAGGTTAGCAAGCAGAGAACACAAGAGTTTCAAATAATTACTTTCATCTACCATTGCTACAGAGTTCAGAAACTCTCCACAATTCATTAATATTAAAGGAACAGCTCCAAGGACACGGAGGTACCCAGGCTATTCCTTGAATAGCATTTAGTCCACCTGGCTAGGAACATTTTCAGAAGATTATCAACTCTTCGCTTGCTTATTCAATAAAGACTAGAGCCAGCACTTTTGAAGCTTTATTTACAACCCCACGATGGTTAAAAACAACCAGGTCTCAAGCCACCTGTCTTCTGCTCTCTAAATTGAGCAATACCACTAAATTAGTCCATATCAATAAGACAGAACAGAATAACCTTCATCCACACTCCCATGCTCCGGATGATGTACTCTGAGCCCCTACTAGGGCTCAGAAAGCCATACCACAAAAATAGGGGGGTTGGAATACTGTGTGCCTTCAAATTAAAAGTGACTGGAAGGCCTTGGGAGCTGCCTGAGAACCAAGGACTTCGGAACATTCTGTTGTATCTCTGCACCCAAAGCACAGGGAGTGGCTCTCTGGAATTCCCTTATCTGCCTGGGGAAACTTCTTCCAAAAGAAATGTGATTGTCTTAACTCTCCCAGGGAACCTCATTCAGTAGGCTGTGTGCCTGGGAAGAGAGGAAAATGAAAGTCTTCACCATGTCCAGATAGGCTTCACTTCTCTTCTGAGGGCAGCTCCCACACACCGCCCGAGAGATGGGAGTCTCACTGGGACACTGTTCACAGAGCTCTGCCTTTGCCCTGCCTCCCTGAGCAGAGAAGACCTTGGTCCCTCAGCTACTGTCTCTTCTCCTGACTCACTCATCACCTCCTGAAAACCACTAACTAAACTTCAAAATTACCTAGGTCCCTTCACTTCCCTCTCTTCTATAGAGAAGTCTCATTGGAGTTACTGGATAATGATCACTCTTGTGATGCCTGGGGTATGTCAATAAATTCACAAGCCTATTACTTCTGCTACTCTCTCAGGTGTCAGTTTGTTGAAACTTTGGAGGGCAGAGAAAAAGTATTCCCTGCCCCTCTACCCTTTTTCCCTCCTACACATGGGCTAGGTCAACATCCCATGTTGACAAGCAAATGCCTCTAAGAATAAAGACAACCTCTACTCTTTTAGATTTCTAACAATGATTTCCACGGCATGAATACATCCCTAGGAACTAACTAACTATTTGACACCAACAAACTCAATTCCCTTTGGGCTATAAAACTGAAAATGTGATGTCATCAATAGTTACAAAACAGAAACCTTACTACTACAGAACCCTGGAAGCATGTGGATCTCTGAACTCTAGCTCATGATTCGCTTTTCACCTACTGAAAATCCATCCAGACCAGAATCCATAAAACAGGACGGCTCTTCTTGCAGGGTTCTGTTTACCTCCTGCCACAACCTCGCCCCACACCCATGCCCATCCTTTGCAGCCGAACATTTCATGTTCGGAAGTGCAAACACTTCAGGAGACCAAAGGTTCCACACATCCCCGCCCCTCCGCACCTTGCCGACAGTGTCCCTATCCTCACCTGCTGCTGTTTAGGACATTTTCTGTGATGTTGGTGGCAAACATGCCCTTATGGACATCCCGCTCTTGAATGAACAGGATGTATGAAAGACGTCTGGCAAGCCAGCCGCGGTGCCTAGAATGTAAATATGAATGAATTAGCAACAAAGCCCCGGGTGTCCCGTGAGGAACACCTAGACTACCACAACAAGAACAGCCCTTGGAGGTCAACCATTCTGAGACTTAGGCTCTCCTCTAGCAAATGCACTTTGGTACTCTAAGATGCTATGCAGCAATTCAATGTGCAATGTCTTTCATGCACTCTCAAGTAAAATTAAAACTCATAATTTATGCATTAATGCTTGAATAATCTTACTTTATTGAATAATAACCCTATTTTTTAAAAAAGTAAAAATCTGTTAAAGCTAGGCATTGGTGGCTCATGCCTATAATCCTAGCTGAGTGGGCTGAGATCTGAAGATCACAATTTGAAGCCAGACCAGGCAAGAAAGACTCTTATCTCCAACTAATTACCAGAAAACTGGAGTGGAGCCACGGCTCAAAATGGTAGAGTGCTATCCTTAAGCAAATAAAGCTCAGGGACAGAGGCCAGGCCCTTAGTAAGCCCCATGACCGACAAAAAGAAAAAGAAAAAAATCTGACACTTAATACCACTAATAAGGCAAATATGTCAAATGTGAAATAGCCTAAACACACATATATGTATCTATGTATGTGGTATGTGTGCATATACATATATATATAATATATATATGGCTTATAGAAAGATTTGGTACTTTTCCCCTAACATAAATGATATATGACTACTTTTTATTATTATTACTACAGTATTTCTTCTAAAGTAATCACTGATTCCTAATTGAATCAACAAAGGCTGATCAGACAAAAGAAATCAAGCAATAACCAGCCTATGAAATGACCTAAATACTTGAACTGAGTTCAATAACCCAGTTTGTTTTCCAACATTCTATATAACTGAGGGACAAGAAATATTCCTCACAGTGACTGTGGCTATTAGCTAGTTAGATGGGGGTCTGGGTAGCTACATTTCAGAATAAAAATGCTACAAGTCTGCATTACATAATGATTTGCCACTCTTTGCAATGATTACGTAATCCTGCACAGTCACTCTCTGTGCAGTGATGCAGACAGAGGGACATTTCAAGCAGAAACAAAGTCGCTCTAAAATGACCTGGAAAACTTACACTGGGGATATAATTTGGTGAGAATCACCATTCCTTACCGCTACTCTTATTTTTTTCCCTTCCTCCTTTCTTTTGTCTCAATCTTCTGAAAAGTTAGCTAAATATGCAGCATTCTTTCTAACGTCTTCCTTCAGTGGAAGGAATCAATGGTTAAGATACAAAGTCCAGCTCTGTATGAAATTCCCTTGAAACTGACCGAAAGCACTGTGCTTATGACTGAAAGCAGTGTGTGTGTCAATGTAAACACTGTGTGTGTGTGTGTGTGATTGAAAGCACTGCATGTGTGTGACTGCAAACACTGTGTATGTCAAAGTGTGGAGGAATGAGTAAGTGCATGAAAGTGTAGAGCACTTATAACAGTATGTGAGAGAAAGTGTGTTGGCATGGAAGTGGTAAGGGTATGTTTGTTTGTAAAGATATTTAGACCTTGTTTCATATGACACATGAGCCGAAAACTGTGGAGCAGCTCCCTGCACTGAACAGTCTCATATAAACAAGTCAATACAACCAATGCTATTTTTCTGCTTGGGGATAACAGCAAAAGTTTTGGCTTCATATGTAAAATGTTTATTTAAATAAGCCAAACAATACTGTATCCCTTTATTTAGGTTATCAACCATATCAACCAAGAAAAATACTTCAATGGCCCAATTCTCTCCTTTAAATTCCAGAGAGACAGACAAGAGGTGGAGGAGGAAGAGAAATAGGTGGAGGAAGAAGAGAAATAGGAGGAAAAGGAGGGAGGAGGAGAGAAGAGGGTGAAGAAGTGAGAGGAAGAAGAGAAGGAGGAGAAAGAGGAAAAGGAAGAAAAAGGAGGAGAAGGAAGAGGAGGAGGAGGGGGGAGGAGAGGAGGAGGAGGAGGAGAGGAGAAGGAGAAGGAGAGGGGGAGGTGAGGAAGGAGGAGGAAGAGCACAAGGAGGAGAAGGCAGATGAAGAAGAGGAGGAGAAAAGAGCAGCCTGAGGATAGGAAAAAAAAATATATCCCTTATATCCCTTGAATTAAACTTTTAGTCCGTGTGTGTGTGTGTGTGTGTGTGTGAGGTCTTACATCCTCATTTAGAATGTCTTCCTCTAGTAATATCAGAAAGGCTTCAAATGTCAATACTTGACTTGTTAGGCCAATTTGCATTCTCATCACTTGAGCCTACCACTCCCTACTTCAGGCATCTTTTCTCACAATTCCAAGGTCTGGTAGTAGTTCTGGTTCCTGCTTCTCTTGCCTAAAACACACAGCCTTCTAATTCTTTATCCTCTCACTTAGATTCTATAAAACAAAGGCCCTTCTCTCTCTCTCTCCCTCTCTGACACCTACCAATCCATCTCCATATGTCTGGAATTTGGAAATAAAAATTCTAAGAAAAATCTTACCTGCATAAGCTAAAGAACATTTGCTCAGTAGAGGAAAACATTTTTTAATATTCTATAGGTCAGGCAAAAATTTTAATCATGTACACTTTCTATGGAGTATAAAACAATCATAATAAATCATAAAACATTCAAAACTACATCTCTCCTTAAATATTTCCCAAGGTTTAGCAAAAGTTGATGTTATGAATAAGTTAAAGTACACTCCAAGTACAATGACATGCCCCGGGGATATTTGTTGGTACAGCACAGGTTAATAGTGTTAGATCTTTCTGGTGACTATCCTGCTTCTAATTTTTACATAAGACTTCTAGGTAGAAGCTCATATTCTATTTATTCTCAAAACCAGACTTATCTTAAAGTATGCTCATTGACATTACAGAATTTTTATTTTGTGATTTAGTAGAAGTATAAAAAGTTTCTTTTTACCTGGTATGAGTTTCATTGATATAAATAACATTCCGCAAACCCAAAGATGGGATGCTAGGGTTAAAAAACTTTTCCTGTGTAAAACAAAACAAAATAAAGTAAGTGAATAGACAAGTAGATTGCTGGTGAAGAATTCCCATTCCTATTTCTAGGTGAATTTTAATATCCAAACATAAAATTGGACATTGCTTTGAAAATCTACCATGATAAAGAAAAACAGGTTTATTCAAAAGTCTTCTGACTATTTCAAGGGTCACAAGTCAATTTTTTCATAGTATATCTCTACATTTAAAAAACCTCACAGTTAATTGCTTTTTAATACGCATATATGCAGATATAAAATCAAAACATAACATGTTAAAACATACACACATCCTCATAAACACATACTGAAGTGAACACAGGGCATGCCCACCTTACCCTCCGTATCAGATTCATACTGTCCTAATATACAGGTTAGTGTACAATAAATCATCCAAATGGCTCAAAGTACTTCATTAATACTCATTAATATTAACATTCATTTTCATATCACGTGGTGATATAAGACTGTCTGTACATGGTAGTAATGAAGGTGGGAAAACATTCCCAATATCTCAAGTAAGCAAAGCTCTGTCCGCTATATCACCCTTGATCTCACCCTGCCTCTTCATTGGGTTTCAGAGGTCAGTCTTTAGATCAGGGCATCCAGATAAGCAGGAGTTATATTTGTCCAAATTAGTTTGCTTGGTTTTGCTTTTTTTAATTTTTGCCAGTCCTGAGGCTTGAACTCAGGGCCTGTCCCTGAGCTTTGCTCAAGGCTAGCACTCTACCACTCGAGCCATAGCACCATTTCTGGCTTTTTCTGTTTATGTGGACTGAGGTATTGAATCCAGGGCTTCACGCATGCTAGGCAAGCACTTTACCACTAAGCCACCTTCCCAGCCACAACAGCAGTTTTTAATGTCAGACAGCCAAAGGGTTTTGGCCTCTTCCCTTTCTGTCTCACTCTTCACCTTTACCCCCAAAGAACTAGAATTAGCTTAAATAATTCACAAGGACAGTCAGAGATCTGTCACAAGTCACAAGTACTATGCAAAGTACCACATGGTTATGATTAGATTACTAAATCTCCTGATATAACACAGTAAGATCATGGTCCCCATTAAGGCTGGTTAGAAGTTTAGAAGATTTCAAATATAAACTTGTTAGATCTGAAAAGATCCAAAAAACTCTTCAATTGAGAAAAACACAATTTTCCTCAATTCAGTCTAAGATCTTGCTCCCAAAGAATGTGGTCTTCCTATTCCCCTGTATGACTGTTCACATAATAAAAAAAATGTACATTCATAGGTTATTATCTTTATAGATGATCTTCAAAGATAATCTAGAGACAATTCAGTTGGAAAGAGGAAGTTAGAAAAGGTATATGACTCACAAGTAAATGCTAATTTAAAAAGACATACTGTACCCTCAAAAAAAGATGTAAGGGCTGGGAAGGTGGCTCAGTGGTAGAGCATTTGCCTTGTATGCCAGAGGCCCTGGGTTCGATTCCTCAGCACCATATAAGCAGAAAAAAAAAAAGCCAGAAGTGGCACTGTGGCTCAAGTGGTAGAGCGCTAGCCTTGAGCTGAAGAGCTGAGGGACAGCGCCCAGGCCCGGAGTTCAGGCCCCACGACCGGACCCAAAAAAAAATTAATAAAAAAAAAAAAGATGTAAAAGCCAGGTATTAGTGGCCCACACTTGTAATCCTAGCTACTCAGGAGGCTGAGATCTGAGAATCATAGTTCAAAGCCAGCCCAAGCAGGAAGTCTATGAGACTCCTATCTCCAATTTATCACCAGAAAAAACAGAAGTAGCGCTGTGGCTCAAGTGGTAGAGTACTGGCCTTGAGCTGAAGAGCTCAGAAAAAGAGCCCAAGCTCAGAGTCCAAGCCCCATGACCAAAAAAAAAAAAAAAAAAAATGTTAAAAAATACTTAAGTAAAATTTCTTTAGAGAAGAAATTTCTTTAGAGATTTCTTTACAAGCAGGATTTCAGAGTAATTATAGCAAACGTCAAAAACAGTACAGTATTTCCACTCCACACAAATTATTTAAATGAACATGCCATGGAAGGAGATCAAGTTCAGCTTGATCAATTACCATACTGATGCAAAAATGAATGATCTGTTGTACGATCTCTAGCCACTCAACCCTCACTAGCCCCAAATAATTCTTTATATTGCTTTCTGATTTCAGAACACGTTGTAACATTGTGGTTACTATACCGGTTTGAATACTCATTTAAAATTAGAATTAGATGAAATGCCAGATCTAAAAAGGTCTGATCTTCTATTTAAATCTTTATTTCCCCTGTCCTCTGAAAAAGGAACTGGCTTTACTCCTGGACTAGAAATTTCCATGATCTTTCAATATTACCACATTCTTGCAGCACGGCCCTGTAGTTTAAACAAATACTTCTAATAAATTCTTGATCAGACCTAAACATTGAGCACAAACTGCTTGAGACTTACAAAAATCTCTCTGATGTTAGGAAATCACTTTACATGAAACTTGGAATTCTACTTCCTATTAGGCCAATCCCCAGTAGTGAACTATTCGTACAGATTAGAATGAACACATGTTAGTAACAGGCACTTAAATGGCAGAATTCCTGCCTTATAATAACTGGCCCATCCCAGGGTGAGCTTATCAACCAAATATAACCTTTTAAAAGGTAACTTTAATGCCTGAACACAGTGACAAACAACATTCTACACCTTGTGCCAAATTATCCCTCACCAACTGCCATCAGAAGCACACTGCTCACCCACCTCAGCTCTTCCCAAGTACTGCAGTCACTAGCTCCCTTCCACCAAAACACAAGCAACAAATATAAACATACTCTTTCTTAAATCTTCACCCTAACATCTTAGTGACCATTTTTTACTATCACAGTCAGAAGACATTCCTGAGCAAGAGAAACACAGCCAAAGGCAACAGAAAAGCCACAGCTTGAACTCTGTCTCCCAGCATGTCTCATCTTGCCAGGATGCTAACATTAAGGCTAAAAGCCAAAGTCTGGAAGGTACATGAAGGTTCCTTCTAGCTCTCTGGAAGAGTTAACTCTAGGTAAGATCTACTCTCTCCATAAAATCATACTAAAGCCACAAAGGAACCAAGATGTTGCCTACCTTTATGATGAAACCAATATGGGGGGAGGGGGAAGGAAAGAAAAATCAAGTCAACGTCTCTACTTGGAATAGTAGGTGTATAAATGTGGGTCTCAGTTCTAAGAACAAACCAAGTCCACTAACACCAAACCACAAAAATGCACACAAAGCTAGAAACCTATGTCACATATTTTGCTGTTTCTTAGAGGCCACCAAACAGGAATATTCTTACCCAGCTCTGAGGAGTGCAGGAATAACAGCATCTTCCAACAAATGGTCTTTTCCGGCTCATGAGGCTTTCTTTCCATTTTAACGTTGCAGATCTGAAGAAGGTGGGTCTAAACCCACAGTCACCCTAATGAAGATTTAGGAAAAATAGAATCTAAGTGGAAAGAGAATTATACTTATCTGCTTGCTCTCTAAAACTTAGATTTCATTATGTTAACCAAAATAAGCCAACAAAGAAAGACAAATACCACATGCCCTCATGCATATGTAAAAGGCAAAAAAGTTGGCCCAGGAGAATTAGAGTAGAATAATGGCTGTTGGCTAGGCAAGTTGGTAAGTAAAGAAAATTTGGAGAATGGGTACAATTATATAGGAACATTGCATTCTTGTGGTCCAGGGCACTGTAAAATTAAACTCAAGGCATCTAGTACTGGAGTAATGTCAACAGATTTTTTTTTTCTTTTTAGATTTTGTTGTTGTTGTGTTTGTTTTCCAGATAGGGTCTTGAGCTTTTGCCTGGGCTGGTCTCAAACTGTGATCCTCCTATCCCTACCTCCCAAATAGCTTGGATTATATAGGCATGCACGACCACACAATGATAACTTATTATACATTCCTCAATCACTAGAAGAGAGCATTTTTGAGTATTTCTTTGTTTTGTTTTGTTTTGTCGTGGGGCTTGAACTCTGGGCCTGAGCGCTTTCACTCAGCTCTTCAGCTCAAGGCTAGTGCTCTACCACTTCTGGTGCCACTTCTGGTTTTCTCTGGTGGTTTATTGGAGATAAGAGTTTCATGGACTTACTGCCCGGGCTGGCTTTGAACCATGATCTTCAGATCTCAGCCTCCTGAGCAGCTAGGATTACAGGCATGAGCCACGGGCACCCAGCGCATTTTTGAATATTTCTAAGACAAGGAAATAATCATTGTTCGAATTGATGGATTAATCTTGATTGGATACTTGCACATTTATTACATATGTTGAAGTGAGACACTGTAGCCCCATGAATACGAACAATTATCATATTAAAATGTTTAAATGCCTTACAGCTTAAAATATTTTACTTTAATGAAAAAGAAAATAAACATAGTAACATTCCTTTATTATATCAAGTGGCAGTAAAGGCTAGCATTTAAATTAAAGTCATGTTGCTACATTAGGGCAAAACCCTGCTCTGTTGTTCTAAAAGTTTTCTCTGAACTTTGAGCTCATTAGTTGCTCAAATCCTATTGATATAAATCATTTTTTAAAAAATAGAATGCCATATTATATGAAAATAAGGAAAACAGTACAACACAGAACATGTTTTTTATACTAGATTCATACAAATTTTTCTCATATTTAATTTTTAAAGTCTACTTCCATTATTCATGCTTATTAAATAAAAATTATGGAGAGTAGCTACCCAGAGAAAAGGAAAATAATCTCTTTATAGATAATTACATGACCCAAAACAACTACTAGGGTCCCTACCCCCAGGCAAAAGTGTTTTTGTTTTTTAACATAATCTCCGTACTTCAAATTTTGTATCCAATTTTTCTTGCCAATTATAACAATACCATAAAAATGTCTATAATTGTTAGATTTTATAATCTCACTCCTAACCATTGGAGGCAATTTCTGCAACAAATAATCTCTATTTCATATTATGATAACACTGAAATGAACACTGCTGAGCTAAATTAGGCTTTTAACTTGTCTCTCAAACTTACCCATTCCTCACTTGCATGTTTACATCGACCGAGGCTGTATTCTGAAGAACTGGGCAGATAAGAAACATCTATTGTGCCAAGGGTCAGTGCAGACTCATCCATGTCCCAGAATGTAACTCCCAAATCATGTGCTGTAAGAAATATATACCACTTAATGAATCCAGAAAGTTAATACTGCAATTCTAGATTTTGACTTGTACATTAATTGTTCCCCAGTAGGCTAACAAATGAATTGGTAGATTTCTACTCGATTGAGTTACACTGTAAAAACTGCCCTTGATGGGTTGGCATGAACTCAGTGAAACTACCCAGACTGGAGAAATGCGGAGTGTCATATTTGTATCTTGAATACTAACGTTACAATTCATGTGTCCTTAGATTTCTTCGACAAAACACCTGTGAATACTCATTTGCAAATGTGTAATTAGGTATAATAATTATAATAAATATAATTGTGCCCAGAATACAACAAATAATTATCTCATTGATATTAATAACTAAATAATCTCAGAGAATGAAGAAATACATTTATTTAACTCAACAAAGTACATGCATACACACAACTTTTAAGATTATGAGCTGGGAATTTTCATGCATGCACACTTATGCAGCATAAAATGGACAAAAGTAATTAAGGTATCTCCATAAGTTTCCCACTTAAAATGAATTAAGCTTCTTAGTTTTCATAACATGCTGTAAAAGCAATGGTCTTTGTACAAGACATCCTCAGAGCTATACAAGAGAAGCACATCATTTACAAACGTCTCTGGATTTTAAGTTTTCAATAAGTCTCTTCTTAGCCTAAGGGAAAATATTCATTGGAAGCAAACTCTAAAATAGATATTAATGCACAATATTAAAACTTTCTGTCTCTATCCTCTAGTTTAGCTTTGGGCAATTTCTCACCTGGATTAATTACTTAAAATCCTTTTAAAAAATCACCTCCATGTAGCAGAGCTCTGCGAAAGGTATATTCTAATTTCTTTTCAATTACCATATGGAGTTGCTACAGTAACTATGAACCTCAGTCTAACTCTTCTGTCCTTGACATATTACCCATAAGTAACAATGTATCACCACAGGCCCTAGGAAGAAGAGTAAAGCTGTGCACATGGAACAAAAATTCTGCTTTAGCACACAACAGTGTGAACACAAGCTGCCTCCTGGTATGTGGGGGGGGAGGGAGTAAGGAGGTAGCAGGGAAGCAAGACAGGAGAGACAGGTGCCAATAGGAAGTCCATGCCTTGCTCCTCCTCCCTCCCCAAAGAGTTTACGAGGGAGAAAGGGGGGGGAGGAGGAGGAGGAAGGGGGAGGGGGGAGAGGGGAAGGAGGGGAAAGAAGAAGAAGGAGGAGGAGGAGGACGAAGAGGAGGAAGAGGAGGAGGAAGAAGAAGAAAGAAGAAGAAGAAAGAAGAAAAAGGAGGAGGAGGAGGAGGAAGAAGAAGAGGAAG